TTTTTTTGAAAATAACCGAGACTGATGTTTTTATAAGTTGCCAAGTTCGCCTTTTTTAGCTGGATATCTCCCAGAAATCATGTGAGATGTGTGTACGATCGGCCTCTGGATCACTCTGTACCAATGCCTCTGTACCTCGTTAATCCAAATCATAAGGTTGGCCTTTCGAGTTTTCTAAAGAAATTATTGATCTCATAATTTTTAGTTCTTACCTTTGGACAAGGTTACAAGTCGTTCATTGGGCGTTTGGCGAACTGTTACCCAATCCGTTCAAGATAACAAGCTATTCACAGCAATACAAACGCTCATAAATGATAGTCGAAGGGTCACGGATAATGGACAGATCGCACTTGGACCTCATTTCCCTGTTTTCAGGTAATTAGTCACCGTTTTTTTAAAATCGAGATTCCTATTCCGTTCATGTTTTTTTTTTATTTATGTGGTTAATTTATCTCAATTTTCCCTATTTCGCAAATATTTTTTGAGCATTGCTATCATCGGAGTTCTGATTACCGCCCGCGCGCATCTTTCAGCTTATAGAAAAAGCAGTAAAGTTGCTGGAGGTCAGTCAGCTGTTCTTTATTCACTACAGATTGAACATAGATTTGATGCGTTGCCTCGGGCACTTGTGCGTTGCTCTTCATTATTAGCTGTGAGAATGTTGAATTCGGATGCTAACATATATGTTCTCTTATCTTGGAACCTTGGCGTTATCTGGTTTATCTTGTTCTTTCGTATGCCAAAAGGAAAACAAGATAAATCAGATGCTGACATTTGGTCATCCCTAACAAACCAATCGATGTTGGACACCGTTATAAGGTTGTTGGCTTCTTACCTGTCATATACTAGAAGACGTACCTACGCACTAGTTTGACCGCTCAGTTGGAAAGTGCTTTAATGAGATATTTTAAGATCTAAGTCAAGAATTGCAACCCAATCATTTGGCATGGTATGACCTTGTCTTGAAAAATTGATTTATTGATCTTGAAATCTGGAATGACCTCTCCATCGTCTTCCTACCAAATTTTCACGTTCCATGCAAACATATATGGTGTGTCATGCTGTTGGCAACTCTGAAACGAAAGGAGCAGCAGCTGTAAACAATTAAACAAAATGAGTCATGCAATGAATAAATTCAACTTTTGAGACTTTGAATTAATAAGATAACCACTAATTTTTCCACTTTGATTTAGGATGTTTTGCTCGTTCCACAAGTTCTGAACCAGCTGGCATATGCCTATTCAGCTGGTCCAATTGTTCAAACCAACAGTTTTCTTTGTCTCAAATTCTGTCTTTACGAAAGAAAGAGCTTTCGCCTTCAAAATTTTCCAATAAATGATAAGCACCATGAGTGCAAGCTTTTTCAAATTTTATCATATGCGTGTTAATCTTGTTCAAATTTCATTTTCAACAGTCCAAAGTGAAAAACGCGAAAATCCGATAAATCACTAAAGTCAAACAAAATATTTTCGGAAGCAACAACGTTCATAGAGCGATAGAAGTGGAAAAGCTAGTGTTGATAAAATCTTCTTAGTTTTCTAAATGCTTATCATATTCAAGATCAGCATGGTTTTGTGCAAAGCTTGGCCTGGACGTCTGAAAATATGTATATGACACATAAAAACTACATAGGCACATGAAGTCAGTGCGTTTTATATAGTATTTGTCAATTATGTTCGCATTTGAAATAACGGCGCTCTTGCTTGATTGTGAACAAATTCTCCTGGAATTCAAATATCATTGTCTTTGATAGAAGAATGACATACATTTTAACAGCTTTTAATTTTACTCACTCAAAGCAGGAAAACTGGGAAAAATCGATAATCGCGCAGTAAAGATTCGGCTTTTTTCTCTCTTTCTCTTTGTCTCTTGCTTAGAAGCAGGTCGAATTTGCAAAAAAAAATTTTACATACAAAAAAGTTTTTACCGTCGTTTGGTTGACTTGTAGCGTAGAGTATTTCTGTGTATCCTAGTTTTGGAATAATTGCAGGGCCTGAGAACTTGAACATGAGCTAAGTTATATGGTTGAACGCCGCTCAACATAGAAAATCACTTTGCGTCTCTAGAACTTAGTGCAGTTCGTAAAGTTCTGAAATGAAGAATCTATCTCCTATGAGAAGAAAAGTTCCCACGCAAAATTTTCCTCTCAATTTT